GGAGGATGGATCCCTAACTGCCTCCATGTCTCTGACCTTCAACCTGGGAACCCTCCCCCACTGTGCCACCTACACCTGAGCACCTCGGCCCTTGTGACTATGTTCCCTCGCTCATCTAACAAGTTCTGGGCCTTGGGAACGTCAGCTGGCAGAAGCAGCTGGCTGTGCCAGGGCCTAATGTTCCACATTAAGGAACATCTGTTGGCGAGGGCTCCCAGGGTGTGGGCCATACACAGCCATGCTCCATGGCCATCCTATAGTCAGCACGGGCCATGTTGCCCAAAGATGTACTGTTAGTCTCTTCCAAGGACATGTTGTCATGACTAGCCACGTGTAGGGGGGAGTCCTGCTGTAATGGGTGGACAAGAGTCATCAGTAACAGGCTTGGGACCCATCTCCCTTCATGTGGCCCTCAGAATCCTCATCATCTTGGTTTGTCATCCTCAGAGCTTTCTGTGATGCTTCTAGCTCCCAAATGCAGTCATTCTGGAAGCAGTATACTATGGGCTAATGTGACTGCATGCGAGTTCTGAAGTTGTTGTTGTTCAATCACTAAGTCGTGTCTGACTCTTTGTGACCCCATGGACTGCAGCACGACAAGCTCCTCCGTCCTCTACTGTCTCCCGGGGTTTGCTCAAACTCATGTCCACATGTCCATTGAATCAGTGATGCTATCTAACCATTCTAAAGTAGCCAGGTCTGAATTCTAAGAGATAGGGTTTTTTTCGCACATGGCAACCTTGGATGCTTTCTGATCTCAACATGACCCGAAAGTCAGCCATCGGCCCCAACAGAGTGGCTGTGAGCTCAGGAGGACCACCTCAAGCCCCCATCCCTGCCCAATGCCTGCCAGGCTTCCTCTATGTCTGCCCAGTGACCCTGCACCGGCCTTGCTCACCTGCTTGGGCTCTATTTCATCTCTCTGCCTAGGTCTGTCTCAGGGGAATGATTCCCAGGGATACCTAAGTGAAATAATGAGATTAGTGGTAATAACAATGGTGACCAGGCACTGAGTGAGTCTGCCTTTCTTCCGACAACTTTTCATGTATGAACTCATTAATCCTTCCCACAGCCCTGGGGGTGGGACAGGCACAGGCTGTCTTGTACCTGGCAGAGGAGCCCTCCAAAGTCCTGATTTAGAGCCTGTTCAGACAGGTGAGGTCCCTTTCCTGGAAGTCTGCACTCTGCCATCGGACACACCACATATTGCCTCCCATCTCTGCCTCTGCCCCTCTGTCATGATTATATCACTATATGCACTTCCTCTGCCCACCTGAAACACGAGGCATTCCCTGCTCCTCTCATGTTGTGTCCTTTCCCTGATTGACCTCTCACCCCGTAGCCTTGCCCATGCCCCATGTGCTGGAATATAGAGCAAGGACCAGGCTTCAAGGATTGTGTTAAGCAGTTGAGGTGATAGGGCCACTGGCTGGTGCTCACCCATAGTGGTGGCTGTGTGACCTGGTCAAATCTTCCTTTGTGAGAGCTTGTGGTCACAGGTGTGTGGGGATGAGTGAGGAGACCAGTGAGGAAGCTATAACCAGAGTCCTAGGGAAAAGTGGTCTGCTCTTGACCAGGTGGAGGTGCAAGGATAGAGAGTAGGATAAGTGAAAAGTGAAAGTGAAAGTGAAGTCACTCAGTCATGTACCACTCTTTGCGACCCTGTGAACTGTAGCCTACCAGGCTCCTCCATCCATGGGATTCTCCAGGCAAGAATACTGGAGTGGGTTGTCATTTCCTTCTCCAGGGGATCTTCCTGACCCAGGGATCGAACCCGGGTCTCCCACATTGGAGGCAGACACTTTAACCTCTGAGCCACCAGGGAACACAAATATTGGACTGTCAGACCAGCAGGACTTGGTGACCAATTGGCTATGGAGCACGACGGAAAAGGTGACAAGTGAGAGTGATTCCAGGGCTCCAACTGGGACTGAGGCAGGAGATCAGGTTTTGTAGGAGATGCTCAGTTGAGTCTTGGACAGGCTGGGTGTGGATTGTCTTGGGCCTTTCAAGGTGGGGATATCCAGTAGGCACCTGGCTGTGACAGGCAGCCCTCAGGTTGTGCAGGAGACATGCTTGGGAGTTGGGTGTATAATTCTGTCAGGAAGCCCTTGAGCCTGGTTCAGTTCAGTTCAGTTCACTGATTTAGGCATGTCTGACTCTTTGCAACCCCGTGGACTGCAGCATGCCAGGCTTCCCTGTCCATCACCGGACATTCCCGGAGCTTGCTTAAACTCATGTCCATCAAGCCGGTGATGCCATCCAATCATCTCATCCTTTGTTATCCCCTTCTCCTCCTGCCCTCAATCTTTCCCAGCATCAGGTCTTTTCTAATGAATCAGTTCTTCGCATCAGGTGGCCAAACTATTGGAGCTTCAGCTTCAGTATCAGTTCTTCCAATGACTATTCAGGATTGATTTCCTTTAGGATGGACTGATTGGATCTCCTTGCAGTCCAAGGGACTCTCAAGAGTCTTCTCCAACACCACAGTTAAGAAGCATCAATTCTTTGGCACTCAGCTTTCTTTATGGTCTCTCATAAAGAAGGCAATGGCATCCCACTCCAGTACTCTTGCTTGGAAAATCCCATGGGCAGAGGAGCCTGGTGGGCTGCAGTCCACGGGATCGCGAAGAGTCGGACACGACTGACCAACTTGACTTTCACTTTTCACTTTCATGCATTGGTGAAGGAAACGGCAACCCACTCCAGTGTTCTTGCTGGAGAATCCCAGGGACGGCAGAGCCTGGTGGGCTGCCGTCTATGGGGTTGCACAGAGTTGGACATGACTGAAGCGACTTAGCATATCCATATATGACTACTGGAAAAAACATAGCTTTGACTACATAGACCTTTGTCTGTAATGTCTCTGCTTTTTAATATGCTGTCTAGGTTTGTCATAACTTTTCTTCCAAGAAGCAAGTGTCTTTTCATTTTACTTGCTCCTTGGAAGAAAAGCTTTGAGTCTCTTGATCTTGTCTAAGATGAGTGGAGCGAAGGGCCAGGGGCAGGACAGATGTGAGCCCCTGCATTCAGTCAGATGGGGCCCAGTCAGTAAGGGCGATGAGGTCAGTAAGGTCAAGAGGCCTCCCAGAGGAGAGGAGGGATGCAGTCAGACCAGGGGTGAAGCATGAAGGGGAGGTGAGGACGGAGTGACAAGGAGTGCAGAAACAACACCAGGAGGTTGGTAGGGGCTGGAAGGAGAGTGGGCACAGGGGTAGGAGGATCTACTGAGTGCCCCAAATCTGAAAAATCTAGGCTTCAAACTTGACCTCTTCCTCCTCCTGGGCAGCTCACATGCTGTGAGTCACTGTCTTAACGATTCCTAAAGAGCTCCGAGTTTGTCCTTACTCCTCTCCATCCCTTGGTGCTCACCTGATCTGGGCATGCGTCCCCACCATGGTGGCCTCTGAGGGGGTCCCTGCATCCTATCCCTTTGTGCTCCGGGTCCTTTCATAGTCCGGGAGCTTGGCTGTGTAGGTCTCTATCTGGCTGACTCAGCTCTCCTCCCCAACCCCATCTGACCAGTTTGTGCTCCTCCTTCAGGTTCCTCCTTCATTTTCACTCAGTCTCTCTGCTCCAGGCCTGTCCTGAAATGCAGTGGGTGGCTGGGGCACGGGGTAGTGGTGGCAATGGAACATCCTCAGGCCAGCCAGTTCCTGCCTCTCCCTCCACCCAGGAGGTTGATCTGAAGCTGGACCTCACAGTGATGTAGAACCTGGGGGTGTGGAAAAGCTCGTGCAGGGTGCTGTGTGTGTGTGTGCTGCGTGTGTGTGCTCCATTTGTGCTGTGTATATGTCTGTGCTCTATGTGTGTGTGCTCTGTGTGTGTCTGTGCTTTGTGTTTGTGAGTACTATCTGTGTGTGTGCTGTGTGTGTGTGCGCTCTGTGTGTATGCGCACTCTCTATGTATGCTCTGTGTGTATGCTCTGTGTGAGTGTGTGTGCTCTATGTGTGTGTGCTCTGTGTGTGTGCTCTATGTGTATGTGCTCTATGTGAGTGTATGCACTCTGAGTGTGTGTGCTCTGTGAGTGTGTGTGCTCTATGTGACTGTGTGTGCTCTGTGTGTGCTGTGTGTGTGTATGCTCTGTGTGTGTGTGCTATATGTGAGTGTGTGTGCTCTGTGTGTGCTCTGTGTGTGTGTGTGCTGTGTGTGTGTGTGCTGTGTGTGTGCTCTGTGTGTGTGTATGCTCTGTGTGTGCTCTGTGTGTGTGTGTGCTGTGTGTGTGTGCATGCTCTGTGTGTGTGTGTGCTCTGTGAGTGTGCGTGCTCTGTGTGTGTGCTCTGTGTGTGTGTATGCTCTGTGTGTGCTCTGTGTGTGTGTGTGCTGTGTGTGTGTGTGCTCTGTGTGTGTGTATGCTCTGTGTGTGCTCTGTGTGTGTGTGTGCTGTGTGTGTGTGCTCTGTGAGTGTGTATGCTCTGTGTGTGTGTGTGCTGTGTGTGTGCTCTGTGTGTGTGTATGCTCTGTGTGTGCTCTGTGTGTGTGTGTGCTGTGTGTGTGTGCATGCTCTGTGTGTGTGTGTGCTCTGTGAGTGTGCGTGCTCTGTGTGTGTGCTCTGTGTGTGTGTATGCTCTGTGTGTGCTCTGTGTGTGTGTGTGTGCTGTGTGTGTGTGTGCTGTGTGTGTGCTCTGTGTGTGTGTATGCTCTGTGTGTGCTCTGTGTGTGTGTGTGCTGTGTGTGTGTGCTCTGTGAGTGTGTGTGCTCTGTGAGTGTGTGCTCTGTGTATGTGTGTGTTCTGTGTGTGCATGCTCTGTGCATCCATGCTCTGTGTGTGTGTGATCTGTGTGTGCTCTGTGAGTGTTTGTGCTGTGTGTGTGTGTGCATGCTCTGTGTGTGTGTGCTGTGTGTGTGTGTGCTCTGTGTGCTCTGTGTGTGTGCTGTGTGTGTGTGCATGCTCTGTGTGTGTGTGCTCTGTGTGTGTGTGCTCTGTGAGTGTGTGTGCTCTGTGTGTGTGTGTGGGGGGACTACTGGATGCGCTCTCACCATGGTTTTCATCCCCACAGGTTGCCCTGGGATGTGGGACAACATCACGTGTTGGAAGCCCGCCCACGTGGGTGAGATGGTCCTCGTCAGTTGCCCTGAACTCTTCCGAATCTTCAACCCAGACCAAGGTGGGTTTCCCCGGGCCTCTTCAGGCTGCGCTCGGTCCAGCCTGTTCCCCCAAGTCAGACCCAAGGCGTTCTGGGGGACAAGCACCAAAGATGGGGGCACCCTGCGGGGAGGTGGTCCCCATTTCAGAGCCCTGAGTTGGTGAGAGGAAATCAGGGACCCCGTGCACAAAGGGACACAGAAGCACCCCTCACACACAGCAAGGCCCCGTGGAGGCACGTCATTGTGCTGGGGCAAGGCTAGGTGCTCGGATGTGGGCTCCATCACATAACCCAGCTGAGGACCTTGAGCAGGGCAGTCACCCCTCTGTCCCCCCATTTCCTAGTCTATCAGATGGGAATGTGGAATGGTGACTGGGAGAATTTAAGTGGAAGTCCCTTAGCAGGACTGGGTGCAGCTTGATGGTCAGTTATAAGTGTGAGCTGATGTTATCACCATGATCACTCATACAGGGAGGCCCAGATGACTGCTCTCCATGGGGAGGGACCTGAGGGGAAAGGGTTCCAAGGGATCTCTCCTTTGGATGTGAGTCTGATGGGTTCTCCAGGCATATTTCGGCCTTGGCAGAGACTCATTTGCCCCCCAAAGAAGGTTGGTGTCTGCTTTTAGTGAACATTGACACTGGGAGGGGCCTGGAGCCAGACTGGGCCTCCACCCCGACTCTGTGGGTGTCCCAGGAAGCAGGGTGGCAAGCTGGGAGTCGCTGAGTTAGGCTGGGCAGAGGGAGATGGAGGGACTGGGCTCCAGGCAGGAGATGTACTGAGAACCACACCTGGACCACTGAGTCCTGGGTTGGGGCCTTGGTTTGAGGAAGGAGGGTAGGGACCCCTGCAGGGACAAGAGGGTCTGAGACACTTGTGTGGCCATGCATGAGTCCCTTGAGATCTGGTCCTCAGCTTCCTCCCTCACCTGCCTAAGGTCTCGGTGAGCGTCCCTCTAGAAGTAGAGAGTCTCCAAGCTGCGTTTCACTCCACTGTCCTCTAGCCCATGTATCAGAGGCAGAGGCAAATGTTTTCACACCTGAAAGCCCAGCAACCTTGTTTCTGCCTGCAGGGGAGTCTGCTTGGAGGAGGTGGTGCAGGGAGATAGAGGCAGTGTGTTGGGGATGCCCGGCCCCATCTCTGGCTCCCCGCCTAGGACTAGAGAAGGCAGGGTCTAGCTATGCTGCCCCCATCTCGCCTCCCCGACTTTCTGTTTGGGCCTGTTAGCCATACCGCCCACCTCCAGAATCTCAATCCAGGCCAGTCCAGTTAAACTCTCCCATCCTGACAGTGGCGTGAGGACTGGATGCAACCAAGAGTAGAACGGGAAGTGCTGAACGGAGAGGCACAGTGTGAATGGTGGGACGTCAAGCGGGGTGGCAGCCCGGTGATTCAGCCCCGATTTCTAATTCATTCCTATAGAGACCAACTTAATCACTTCCTCCATTCACATACTCGTTTCATTCAGTCATTTATTTAAAGTTGACAGAACATCTACTCTGGGTCAGGTACCGTGGCAGGACTACTTTTCCACCGCACACAGAAAAGGTAAAATGAATCAGCAGTAAAATAAAATTTTCTTAAGATATGCTTTCTTTCAGATTCTATGCCTCCCTCTGGCAGTTGCACAATGAATGTGTTATTTACACCTGCCTCTTAATGGTTCATTAAGGCAGGGCCTTTTAGCATCTCCATTCACAAAGTTAGACTTGACTTAAATACTTAGAAAGCTGAGAACCGCAGTTTTCCTTTTATTTCCTGGTTCCCAGGGCTGAATCTCATGCTCATTGTAATAGTTGCTGCTTTGCAACTGTTGGAGATGCAGGAAGGTGATCTCGCTCCTCCTTTGGAATGCCTCTCTTTCTCAGTAACTGTGCCCTGTTCGTGCAGGAATGGTAGAAGTCTCTAGTAGAACAGTAGAATCCCAGCTTGTAGTTCTCAGGCCTCTGGGGCCCCAGCACAACCACTCTTCAGAGTCTCGGAGTGGGAAGGAGGAGAGCACCATCAGCAGGGCTCAGAGAGCAGACTGACTTTAGCCAACCTTGCTCACCTCTGTGTTTTCTCTCTCGCTTTGTTTCAGTCTGGGAGACAGAAACCATCGGTAAGAGGAACCTTGGAGAGGACAGACTGCTGATCATCTGTCCATCTGTTCATCTTCCCATCCAGCAGGAGCCCAGCTCTGACTATTAGGAGTGGGTGGGGGTGGAATGAGAGGTTCATCAGGGGCTGGGCTCATCCCTCCTTTCCCTGCCCAACTCCTTTGGCCATCTGGAGGCTGGGGAGACACAGGGAGATGGAAAGATGCCACCCTTCCTTGGTCTCAGGGTGCTCATGGGCTTGTTTGAGAAGATGGGACTCACCTATAGAGGGCTCAGCAAGCAAGGGCATCTGTGTGCTTTGGCATGAGCTTCTGTACACATAAAGGCCTGACTGTGTGTGTGAGCCCATGCCAATACTGACATCCCCAGGGCCATGGAGTTGGAATGCTTGGCAGGCTCCAGAGCAGAAGAGACCTAACCAGGTGACATGCAGGCAAACTAATGATGGTGTCAGGGAAGTCTTCCTGGAGGAGGTGACATGTCAGTTGGACCTTGAAAACAGAATTTTGAAAAGTAGAGGGAAATGGGAGTTCATTGCTAGCAGAGGATTCAGCCTAAAAAAAGGTGGAGGTGGAAATAAAGAATTGGGAAAGAAAGAGAAAAATATGTCTGAGGAGGAAATCTTTGGAGTTTTGGGGTTCCTTTGATGGGAGCAGTTTGTGGGCTGAGATGGAGGGTTGAACACCAAACGAAAAACCCAAGCTTGGGACCCATATTGCTATTTTTTGTCCTTTTTCCTAAAAAGAGCTGGTTAATGAGCTTTTTTTTTTTTTTTTTTACAAAACAGAAATAGACTCAGATACAGAAAACAAACTTATGATTATCAAAGAGGATAGCGGAGGTGGAGGTAGATAGAGGTAACTTAGGAGTTGTCCACAAACATATATGCACTATTTTATACAAGTTAGACAAACAAGGACAGACAAAAAAGAGAAAAGGCCAGTCACCCTCTTCCAGTCCTCTCTTACTCCAGAGGTCCTCCCCTCCTCCCGACAATGTCTCATTTCCATACCCTGTGATCCAGTGGGGAGAACTGAGTCATGAGCCACCATTAGCATCATAGAAACACAAAGCAAATGGGATGGCCCTGGAAGGTGCAGTGTGTATGTGGCTGCTATGTGCGATGCTTCCTCTTGGCCGAGACCCCACCTCCCCCAGCCCCCCATCTCTAGACCAGGGGCAGCCTTTACCTTCCAGGAAGCAGAGTAAGGAGTGGATAGCCCTGGCAAGCTGATGGTCAGGTGTCCTGACTCATGCCCACGTCTGTTTTGCAGGAGAGTTCGGTTTTGCAGACAGTAAATCCTTGGATCTCTCAGGTAAGAGATGAACTGATATTGACCATGGGCTGGCTGGAGGGAGGTTGTCTAGCCTGTAAGGTCACAGGGAGGTAACCTGTGAGCTTGGGGACCCCCTTCCAAGATGGGCTATGCCTCTCTGTGGCTCTGTGATCTTCGTTAGCTCACTTTCCTTCTCTGATGAAGTTGTGGATTTTCTCCATGGGAATTTGCATGCAAGTACTCAGACAGAACACCGTGCATATAATTTCAGGGAAGGACAGATCTCAGTAAAAGAACTCCTTTGATGGAGTTTAAATGGCCCGTGATAGCTTGGAGCTCCCTTAAGTAGAACAGTGGTTCTCATACTTTGTGATCACAGTCACCTGTGTGCTAAGTCACTTCAGTCATGTCTGACTCTTTGTGGCCCTGTGGACTATAGCCCACTAGGCTCTTCTGTCCATGGGATTCTCCAGGCAGGAATAGTGGAGTGGGTTGCCATTTCCTTCTCCAGCACAGTCACCTATTGGGCTTGTTAAAACAGATTCCTGGACCTCGCCCCCGGAGTCTCTGATAGAGCAGTCTGAGTGGGGCCTGAGAGTGTGCATTTTGGCCAGTCTCCCTGGTGATGCTAATGGGCCCGTCTAGGGAGGGCACCCACTTTGAGAACCTCTGCCCTAAGATTCTGTGCTTCTATGAAGTTGCTGGAGCAAAACAGCCTAGTGAAGTAGGCGCAGCCACTGGAGGGTGTTGGCAGTCTGGAGAGTACTCCATCTTCCGGAGATTTCTATCAGAACAATAGACTAGCAGATTCATGGAATAGTTCTAAACAAAAAGGTTTATACTTTTCTGAGCCCACACTATATTTTGAAAAGGGTAAGAAGGAAAATAAAAGAAAGGAAATGGCTTGTATCTCCAGGATACTTTTTAAAAAAAAATGTTTTTCAGTGCAGCTTCCCTTTCCTCTTCCCACCACCCTGATGTGGGCAGAGCAGAGAGGAGACCCAGGGAAGGGAAGGGCTTGGCCACTGCCATGGTCCCCTAGGACGTGCAGACTTTCTGAAAGAAACGTTCAGAGGGACTTGGAAGGAGGTTGCCAGCAGCAGCCTGAAACAGATTTGCTGGAAGCAAAAACCATTTGGCATTAAACTGTGGGACAGAAGTGACCTCGTCTCCCTGGGCCTGCTAGACGTCCTCCTTGTGCTGGGTCACATACGACTCAGAATCTGAGCTGCAGTAAGAGACTAGTCTCCCCGCTTTGGGCAGAGCTCTCTTTATGGCAGGATCACTTACCCTCTGCTGCTTCCCAAAGCCCCAGGAAGTGCATTTCTGACTCTTGGTTGAAAAGAACTGGCCTTGGATCTTCCAACTCAATCAGCAGGACATGAGGTTGGAAAAGTGTTGGAGTCGCCTGTGTTGGCTGCTGCCCTTGTCCCTGTCCAAGTTCCCCACAGATGGCCTTGGCCTCTGAGCAGGGGTTCTTCCAGCAGCATGGATGCTGGAGCCCCTTCTATGCAGATGTCTCTTGTTTATGATTTCCTGGTCCCTGAATCCTGTGAAAGGAAGAGCCACCCCCAGGTGTCCTAATACACCAGGTAAACTCCCAGGAAGCCAGTCGGGGAAGAGGGGTCAGCCTGGGGCCACACTCAGGGGCTGGGCTGGAGGCAGAGGGGACTGCTGCCTTTTCCCCTCCCCTAGACATCGTGGTTCACCCTTAGACAGTCAGGAGCAGAGAGGATAAAATGAGTAATCATTAAAGGCTAAAAGGCCCCAGGCAGGGTGAAAACCAGACTGGACTCCACTCTGCAGCCAACAAATGACTCCTGCCTCCTCTGGTGTCCTGCAAAATGGCCTTTAAAGTCAAGCTAAAGAAAATGAAAGTACATTAGTGATAGGAAACAGACCTCTAAACTTGAAAAGGCAGAAGTCTTTTTTTTTTTTTTTAACCTGAATATGTATCTTAATAAGATCTGATGCTAGGTTAATGGAGGTCTGGTCCTTGTTAATTAAGCAAGCCATGTGCCCCCTGGATACCGTCGAAGCTGCTGGAAGGCCCAGAACTCCCGGTGAAAGCCTCACCTGGAGCTTCTCCAGATATGACGAGAGCTCCTGCCACACCACTGCCCCAGGTGATTCCTGGGCCAGGAACTCTGGGCCTGGAATCTGCATCTGTGATCCCAGGTCATTCTTGTGCTATTCCAGGGCCTCCAGGAGAGGGTCAGGCCTTTTCCTAGAGGGAAGGAGGCTGGATTCATCCTGGCTCAGTCCTCTCACTCCTTGTTTAGAGATCAGCTTTCATTGGACCCCCCTGCATCCCACATTCTTAGTATAAAGGCTAAGCAGTTATTATTTTCACTCAGACACTGAAAGATCTCATGAACCTGCAGCTGCCATGCTTCTCAGATGGACATGTGGATTTCCAGGAATTTCTACTTAAAGAGTAATAGGGCATTAAGAATTTTAGACCCCTCTTACATCATTTCTGTGCCTCACCATGTTTTTGTTCTGCTGCAGACATGAGGGTGGTGAGCCGGAATTGCACGGAGGATGGATGGTCAGAGCCATTCCCTCATTATTTCGATGCCTGTGGGTTTGAGGAGTACGAGTCTGAGACTGGGGACCAGGTGAGTATCTGCTGCCCTCCTAAAGGTGGAGGGATGGGCCCGAGGAGGCAGGTGGAAGCACGTGCCCCCCAGGGGCCCTGACTCCTGATGAAACTGCAGGAACTTGAGTCCCCAGGCAGCATTCATGAGTGCCTGCTGTGTAGCCAGATGCATGCAGGGCAGGACTTTCACTCACTCATTCTAGGCTGAGAAACAACTGTCTTGCTGCCTGAGCTCCTCCGGCCCCCACCGCATGTCCACCATCTCCCTGGTGGCTTTTCCAGGACACCTGCCTTTCTGTGGTCCAGCCGTTGTAGGGTTAACGCGGGGCTCAGCAGGGGGCCCCCTGGATCCTTCTCCAGGCTAAAGGCTGGCTCCGTTCTGGCTGGTCAGTGCTCCTGCACTCTACCAGCATGTAGCTTCTGCGCAGTGGAGATGGACAGAAGGAGGAGGTGGCTCAGTGGGAATGGGCTTGGGGAGCCTGGGGTGGCGGAGGAGCTGATGAGGGAGGGAAGGAGAGGTGATCAACTAGAGAAGAGGGGAAGGAGGAGCTGGGTAGCATGCTCAGAGGTGGGCAGGCCTGGCCTGGGAGACTTGGTGCCATCCCAAGGGGGCCGGGGGCAGGCCCCACATGGAGCCCTGCATGTCTTGTGCTCTGCTCCAGGATTACTACTACCTGTCGGTGAAGGCCCTGTACACAGTTGGCTACAGCACATCCCTCGTCACCCTCACGACCGCCATGGTCATCCTGTGTCGTTTCCGGTGAGATTCCCGACAGCCTTCAAGTGATTGCTGCCCACTCCAGCACAGAGCCCTTGCTCTGCGCCTCCCACCCCCGACTCCTGCCGTGGATGTCAGCCCTGGAGGTCTCTTGGAAGGCGTTTCCCCCACCCCTACGATAAGAGATAGGAAACTTGACCCCAGAGAGGACAACTGACTTGTCCAGGGCCACACACAGCAAGGCAGACCGTGGGCAGTAGACCTATGCCCCTCGCTTATCTTCCTGGTCTAGGTGGAGAGAGGTCACAGGAGGGAGCAGTATGACGTCCCTCCCTCACTGGAGGAAGCAGGTGGTGGGGAGTCTGGGAGTGAGTGAGGGTTTAGAGAGCTGGGAAGAAGGGGTGGTCTAGGTGGACAGCCCCCTTGAGACAAAGCTGTGGAGTCAGCCTGAAGCAGACCCCAGCATGGAGGGTGGAAGGCTGTGGGGTTCCTGACCTCAAGGCGTCTGTCTTCCCCGCCTGTGGGTGTAGGAAGCTGCACTGCACCCGCAACTTCATCCACATGAACCTCTTCGTGTCGTTTATGCTGAGGGCCATCTCCGTCTTCATCAAAGACTGGATCCTCTACGCTGAGCAGGACAGCAATCACTGTTTTCTCTCCACTGTGAGTGCGCTGAGCCCTGCCACGATTAGTCCTCCCTGCAGTGCCCCGCTGTCCAGGTGTTTTCCTGCAGGTTGAGGTGTTGGCCCCCGTGAACACAGAAACCCAGGGATGACTGTGAGGTTACTAGCAGCCGGTGAGACCCCGGCTTGACATCACTTCTTGTTCCTTGGCTTGTGGGTGTACTTGGCAGAGCAGTTGAGGCAGGTCAGGTGGAGATGTCAAGTCCCACTTGACTAAGGAGGGAACTTGGCTCAGAGAGAGGACTGGCTTGGTCAGTGGTGCTTTGGCCCAAGACGGAGCCAAGGGGCTGATTGACTGGGGTTCCCTCCATACCACCTACCCAATTCTGATAGCTTTGGAAGTAAGCAGAAAAGACAGGCTTTGATGGGGGCAGGATGAGAGAACAGCCCAGAGCACAACGCCTTGGCCTGAAAGGGCACACTTGGAGGCAAGTGTCTTATGAGACTTCTGGGAGGGCCAAGGCTACCCTATTTACCTATGTGATATCTGAACCCTTTATTGTACCAAGGAGGCTCCTTCAGTATCCTCTTTATTCTCCTCATCTATGGGGGCTGGGGAAGAGGCAGAAAGTGGGGCTGGGGAAGGGGCAGAAAGCGGGGCAGAGTGAGCCTGGCGAGAAGAGAGGGTTCTGTGTGCACCCCTTGACCCCACCCCATCCCCATCCTTTTCTTACATATGCAGAGCTGCCTCCATGGGCAGCTTTGATTCAGACTCAGGATGCTGTAGTTTTATATTCTGAATCCAGGGATGTTGAGTCTTTCAGACCCATGGGATGTTTAAGCCAGAGATGCCTAAGCTAAGGGCCCTCAGGTTTCCCCCTGGTCCTGCTGGGCTGGATTTTCAAGGTTCGATGGGGACTTGCGCCCCCCCTCCTCTTCCCCACTCACCCTGCAGGTGGAATGCAAGGCCGTGATGGTTTTTTTCCACTACTGCGTCGTATCCAACTACTTCTGGCTGTTCATCGAGGGCCTGTATCTCTTCACCCTACTGGTGGAGACCTTCTTCCCCGAGAGGAGATATTTCTACTGGTACATCATCATTGGCTGGGGTAGGTCTCTGATTGTGGCCTGGACAGGTTCAGGCCCCATGACCAGGATGTCCTTCGTCCCGTCATCCGGGAGTATCGGTCAGAGGAGGGAAGCAGAGGGAGGTGCTGCCTTGCCTCACAGCTATGGCATACTGCTGGATCTTGGATACTTTCTTGCTCTTCTCCGTGTAGAGAGCGTACCGGCTGAGGGAGGGGATATGCTCAGGGAGGCAAGGTAGCCCAGGGTCTGAGGGAGACATGGAGCCCCAGAAGTTCTGGGAATGAGGGACAGTTAGGGTCCCCAGACACCAGGTCTGAGAGGGAGATATGCCCCATGGACCAGAACCTCATGTCTGAGGGGTCCATTGGCCCCCAGAAGCCCCAGGTCTGAGGGGGATACTGGGCCTATTAGTTCTCCTGTTATCATGGGGCTCCTTTCCTTTCTGTGCAGGGACGCCGACGGTGTGTGTGTCCGTGTGGGCTATGCTGAGGCTCTACTTCGACGACACAGGGTGAATACATGCTCAAAGCCAGAGCCGGGGCCCCAGGCAGCCTGTCATTAACGCCCTGAACTTCATGTTGACTGTCTCAGACAAACCATCCGACGCCGGGCCTGGCTACACCACCAGCCCTGGGCACTGACTATGCCCTGAACCCACTGTGGCTGGACCCACCCTGCCACATCTCAACTGGGGCCCAGCGAGGGAGTGCACAATGTTTCAGGGCCCTGCTCTTCCTCTGGGCTCTGCTCTGAGTGACTGCTCTCCTTTCAGGGAGGAGGGGAGGAACATTGAGGCTGAGATAGCATCCCCAAGAACCTGAGGTCTCAAGGGGGAATGTGGCCCTTGCCCAGGAGCCCATCAGCGCCCTGACTCCTGGGCTCTAATCGCTGCCTTGATAGTGGAGCAGAAGAGAGGACCAAAGCACTGGGAGCAGGATTGGGCTTGGGGGTACAGTCCCTCAGCGCTCCTTTCAGCCAGCCCCGCTTCAGAGCCACAGGGGGGGACGTGCCACCCCGTTGTCTTGCAGGCCTCCCCGCTCCCAAGCATCATCTCTCTTCTTTCTGCCTGTCTCACAGCTGCTGGGATATGAATGACAACACGGCTCTGTGGTGGGTGATCAAAGGCCCTGTAGTTGGCTCCATAATGGTGAGTATGCTTGGGACAAGAAGCAGGAGAGAGACAGAGGTCTGGGCTGAAAGGTCCGGGGGAGGAGAAATAAAGTGGTCACCACGCAAACCAACCTTCTTTATCACAGCTGCGTTATATTCTGCAATATGGATGTACAAGTTTTTTAGCTATTCCACTAGTGTTGGACATTTGTCTTTATTCCATTTTACCTCATTATGAAAGATGCTGCCATGAAGAGTTCTGTGCATAGTTTTGAGAATGTGTGAATATTTCTTTAGAATTAATCCCTAGAAGTAGAATTGCCAGGTCAAAAAGGGTATACCATATCATTGTCTGTACTTGTAGTTTCAATCATTTAAATTTTTGCACAGCTTTGTGGGAGATACTGTAGCTCATTGTTTTAATTTCTCCACATTGCTTGTGCAGCAAAGCAATTTTTTAACACATTTATTGACAATTTGCTTTTTTTCTGGTTACTATCTGTTTATTTATTTGCTCATTTTTTCTAGCCCAGTTGTTGTCTTTCTTATTGTTTGATACTTACTTACTGCTTCATTTGTTACATGTATTGTGTTTGATACTTCTTACTTCTTCATTTGTTACACATATTGTAGATATAATTCCAGCATTGCATGGTTTTATACAGTCAGACCATCAGGCCTTTTCATCATGAATTCTGAGGCTTATTTCTTGTTTCTGGAAGTCTTTCCCAACCTGAGAATATAAAAGTATTCTTAATTGTTTTATAACAATTTTATAAATTGGATTATTATATGTATGATGGGCTTCCCTGGTGGCTCAGATGGTAAAGAATCTGCCTGCCAATGCTGGAGACCTGGGTTTGATTCCTAGGTTGGTAAGATCCCCTGGAGGAGGACACAGAAACCCACTCCAGTATTCTTGCCTGGAGAATTCCATGGACGGAGGAGCCTGGCGGACTATAGTCCATGGGGTCACAAAGAGTCAGACACAACTGAGTCACTAACATTTCCACTTTCTTTATGTGTATATCTTTAATCCGTCTGAAATTTTATTTCTCTGATCTGAAATGATATCTAATCTTATCAAGTTGTTTTTTTTTCCCAATGGATAGACATCCCACCCTCTAAATATTGTTATTAAATAGATCATCCTTTCTCCATTATATAGAACTGCAACTTTATTATAAACACTCAATGTACTCTACTTGTGTTTAGCTCCAGAGTACCTACTCCACGTTACTAATCTATGCAGCTGTTCTTGTGGCGAGTACCCCATAGTGCTGGTTACCATAATGTGGCAGCATGTTTTGATATCTGCTGTGGCTAATATTCCTTTCCTTATTTTTTCCCTCCAAAATTTTCTTGCACATTTACTTTTTCACATGGACTTGCACATTTGTCAAGTTGAAGGAAAAAGACTGGTTGAGATTTTTTATAGGAGCACCACTGAATTTATAAGCAAATTTGGAGGAGAAGTGGTTTTCTTAAAATACTGAATCTTCCTTTCCAAGAATATGGCATGATTCTCTATTTATTTAGTCTTTCTTACAGAGTCATTTTGTATAGTGTTTTTTAAGTTGTCTTGGTAAGTTTACCTTTATGGTGCCTTTCAGTTTGTGCTCGTATGTAGGAATTATTCTTTTGTTGTATTTTCTAGTGGGTGTATTTGTGCTGGTGTTTAGGGAACCTATTAGTTTTTGTGTATTTTTTCCTTTCTTGGTTACCTTTGAAGCTCTTTTATTGGTTCGTATCCCTTTTCAGTTGATTCTCATGGAAAATTATATAACCTATAAATGAAAATATTTTTTCTCCTTCATTTCCAATATGCATACTGTTTATTCCTCGGTTGTGTTGAGGATGATGTTTGCTACACTTTTGGGCGGCTGCTCTTCACTGAATTAGGAAAGTTCCTATTTCTGACTTGTTTCAGTGTGTATTTTTTAAAATAAGGAATAGATGTCAACTTTTATCAAATGTGTTTTGGAGACATTAACTGCTCATTCCTTTAGTGATGAACACTGATTATATTCCAGTTTATTTTCATGATGAACAATGCTGCTGTGGATATATTTGTGCATACCATTGAGTATGTATGAATGTGTCTTTAGAATATATCTCCAAGAGTAGAATTTCTGGGACAAAGGATATATACATTTAATGTTTTCATGGACATCAAATTGCCCTCCACATGTGGAGTATAAAAGTGCTCATTTCTCATGTTTTCATTGGTGTTTCGATTCCTGAACTGTTTACCGATCTTATGGGGATAAAGATAGCTCATTGTTTTAATCTGTTAATGTAACAAATATTGGGATTCCCTGGTGGCTAAGTGGTAAGGAATCTGCCTCCAGTGCAGGAGATGTGGGTTCGATCCCTGAGTTGGGAAGATCCCCTGGAGAAGGAAATGGCAACCCACTCCAGTATTCTTGTCTGGGAAATTCCATGGACAGAGGAGCCTGGCAGGCTCCGTTGGATAACAAAGAGTCAGACATGACTTAGTGAATAAACAGCAACAACAAATGTTACTGGATATTTTTTTTCACTCTTGGCATAAAACCTTTATGGCCCTGATCTGTTTGTCCTTTTAATGCACTACTAAATTTTTTGTTTGTTAATATTCAGTTTATAGCTTTTGCATTGTTCTTTGTAAGTTCTCTGGTTTTAGACATGTGTCTGATCATGTGTGTGAATATGGTATCTGTCCTTGTCTGGGTTTTGTAGCAGGATTTTGTTCACCTCATAGGTAATTTGGTAGGTTTTCTTTTATTTCCTTTTAAATAATGATGTAGGATGTAAATTCTATCTTCCCTAAAGGTCTTATGAAACTGGCTGGTCAAATGATCTGGGCTGGTGCCTTTTAATACACGCATCTTTGATTACTTTTTAAATTTTTCCTGAGGTCATTGTGCTATTCTGATTTCTACATCTTGATTTGACTTGATTAATTTATATTTTACCATGTTATCTGATCTTTTTCCTTGTGATGATTCAAAATACTCTACACATCTGTTGTCCTCTTTCTCATCCTTCAATTTGTTTAATTGCATTTTTCTCCCTTTGGAGGGACTAATGTATGCAGTTAGCAGTATTGACTGTGCTAAATTCCAAGTACTGGTTAGATGCTGAGCGTGTAGTAGAAGGCAAAACTGACAGAAGCTGCCCTCCAGGAAGGCCCTTTATCATTCTGCTTGATCTGTGAAAGCAAAACAAAACCAAAAATTTTATATTTATTGATTATCTACTTTTTTTCCTATTTCTTTAATGAATTTTTATCTTTAACTTCCTTCTTTAAAAGAAATAGAAATTAAACTTGTGGTACTCTTTCCCTAAATTTTGATTTGAATGCTTAATTATTTTATTTTCAATATTTCTTGTCTTTTAATAAGTTAGTGTTGGTCTCTACCTTTTTTCCTTGAGCCCTGCTTCACTTCAGCCAGGCGTTACTGTATAGTCCCTATTGTTAGTTCGTGTTAGTCTCTAGCCATGTCCGACTCTCCGCAATCCCTTGGACTGTAGCCCGCCAGGCTCTTCTGTCCATGGGGATTTTCCAGGCAAGAATACTGGAGTGAGTTGCCATTCCTTTCTCCAGGGGATCTTCGCAACCCAGAGATTGAACCCAGGTCTCCCACATTCTTTACAGGCAGATTCTTTACCATCTGAGCCACCAGGGAAGCCATCGCCTCTATTTATTTACTCCCCGCCTTGTCTTTATTTATTTACTCCCCTCCCTCCTGCTCTCTCACCATCCACACAGCTTCCTACTTTGTTTAGAGAGCTTTTGTCCCTGACCTTTGTCCAAAGGTAAATGCTATTGCTATTCAAAGGCAGTCCTTTAATCAATAATCCTTATTCTCCTTTCTGGTTCTCCATATTCAGTGACTCTGAACTTGGAGTTTCTCCAGAGGACAGCTCTCACCTCTGCAATAGCCTCTTCTCTGTTTTGCACTGTCGTTTTTCTATCACCCTGACGCTGTTTGTTCCGTCTTTTCCAGAAATTGCTCGCTTTTCTGGCTCACTCATGACAGTTTTTGCTATTTCTCAATACTCTCATGGAATTCTTTTTATCCCTCTCTTCTGTGGTTTCAGTGACATGGAGGGAGGCTGGGGAGGTGAATGAGTGTTCTCATGCTGACATCTTATGTGTACTTATAATGCTGCCATTATAAGTCTAGATGGGATCTTGACTGATGGGAAGAGGGCCTTGTTGAGGGAATAACAGCCAGTGTAGTGGCAGGGGTGTGCAAAGTCTTTGCTCAGAACCATTTTCACTGCTTTTTCTTTGCTTCTCAGGTTAACTTTGTGCTCTTCATTGGCATCATTGTCATCCTTGTGCAGAAACTTCAGTCTCCGGACATGGGAGGCAACGAGTCCAGCATCTACTTGTAAGTACCACTGGGTGAATGCCTTGGTTAAATTCCAACAGCTGGGTGGGCCCTGCACTCAGGACACAGGAGGAGAAGGCCTGGGCATTGCTAATTGGGTACCCTAGCATGGGCATTTGCAGGACTGCTTTTGGATTAAAGTGACTTGAAAATATAGTTGCCCATCTATCCTTCAACCAACCCAGGAGCCCCTAATCCTCATAGTGATAACATGGAAATGAGAGAGAAAATGATGGACAGATCCTGTGTCTTGCTAGGAAAATCAAGATGGAAAAGGCAGATTCCTTAAGGTAGTTAGGGTGGGTCTTGGTGGATTAGAAATTGAAGTTGTTTTGGGGGTCTTGGTTCTCGGGGGAGCTCATGACTGCTGCTGGATGCAGTGTTGCCTGAAGTCCCCATTCCCAGCCCAGTGGGTACAAGTTGCTCAGTCCCCACTAGTGAGTGAGTTGGGCAGACAGTCTCCCTGGTCTGGGTACTGGAAGAGAAATTCTCTTTGCACCTTTTCTCGGGGCAGCTCTACTCCCAGGTCTGGTCATCTTCCTGCAACTGCCCCCTTCCTGGGCAGAGGAACAGCTGACATGTTTGGGATTGATGGTGTTCGGGGGCAACCTCTTACCGCTGAGTGTAGGGTTTCTCCACTTCCACGGTTTCTTTCCTCACAGTGTGTCTGCAGCCAGGTCCCTCACAGCTTATCCCTGCTAGCTCTGTCCCACCCCTCTCCCAGCCCTCCACCTAGGCTGAATCCGACCAAGCATCTTCCATCTCACCCTTCTTGCCTTGTAACCATGACCAGCTTGGTGTGTGGGCTGTGGGCACACTTCTGATGCTGGGGAGGCAGTTTGGTCCCCTGTGGTTGGCTGGAAGGGCCAGAGAGGGGCAGACTGAGAACAGTCTGTGCAGTGGAAGCCCTCTGTGTTGCTTCCTCAGTTTGAGAAGAGAGCAGGCTAGAAGGAACTTCATCAGAGACCCCAACGGGGGTTCAGAACCTCGATGGCTGCCCAGAGGACAAGTGGGACAGCAGAGAGACTCCAACAGAGGCTGCCCCCACCCAGCCATTCTCTCGGAGAGAAGGAGAGGAAGGAGTGCTTGGGAACCAGCCCCGGACCCTTCTCTCAGCCTCCTTGAGACTTCCCTGGGTCAGTGGGGCTTGTCCTTGGTCCCTGCAGTCAGTTTGGGACCTCGTCCGTGGCAGCCCTTCCCTGGGAGTGGGGATCAGCGCAGGGCCTGGCTTGGTCAGGCTTGTTTTCCCTGCATGTAGGATAATTGCACTGACCGCTGCTTCCTCTCCTTTTTCTGGCTATCCATTCATTGTCTTTTATTTTTTCATGTTTTTGTGAACATTTACCAACCTTTGCTTATATGTGTGTGTTATGTAGTAGAAAATTGTTCATCCACATAAAGTCCCCTGCACTGAGGCACTGCAGGGGCCAGCTCTCTGCAGATAACTGACCTGGAAGGATCATTCCTGCCCTCATCTCCTGGAGCCACAGAACAGGGCCCTGCTGCTGCCCCTACCTTCTTGTCCAGCGTCAGAAACCATGTCCTTGTGTCTGGCCTGTTTCTCCCACTCGAGGGTGGTTTTGCTCCAGCATTAGCAGTTAGTTATCTCAAATGTCCTCTGAAGCTGGCAGGTAGCTAAGTCAGCGTCATCTCTCCTTTGAGCTCTAAGCAACCTTGGCTCCCCTCCTTGCCTCCCTGCCTCCTTGATTCCTAGTAGGATCTGTTTCTTCTTCTGAGGTCCCCGGGACTTGTCCTCCTGGGGCTCCCCTAGCTTCCTCTCTGTCTGTGTGGGGACACACAGGGACTCAGCTGCAGCTTGAGTAAGGACACTCTGCTGACCCCAGAACATTCTTTACCCAGGGTTTTGAAGGTGTATTGTAGACTGGGAGCCATGGAGTCCTATAAGACCTTCCGTATGCATAGATCAGAACAGTCTATAATTAACACAGGGTTTATACACTTAAGAACAAATGCTTAAAGAACCAGCTGCAAGCATACCTCATTTTATTGTGCCTCACTTTACTGTGCTTCACAGATACTGCCTTTATTACAGATTAAAGGCCTGTGGCAACCTGGGTCTGTGTTGAACAAGTCTGTCGGCCCCATCTTTCCAATAACATTTTCTTACTTGGTGTCTCTGTGTTATATTTTGGTAATGCTCGCAATAATTGAAGCTTTTTAAAAAATCATATTTGTTGTGGTGATCATTGATCTTTGTTACTGCTGTGACTCACGGAAGGTTCAGATCATTAGTGTTTTTTAGCAATAAGATGTTTTTAAATTAAGGGATGTACATTTTCTTAGACATTTTGCTATTGCACACTTAACAGGCTATAGGATAATGTAAACATAACCTTTATATGCACTGGGAAGCCATAAAATTGATGTGACTTTATTGCAATATTCGCTTTATTGTGGTGGTCTGAACTGAACCTGCAATATCTCAGGGGTATGCTTATAGTTGGTTTGCTCTTATTGTGTCAAAATCCCCATGAAACTTCAGCAAATTCTTAAAATTTTTTTTTTTAGAGAAATCTAAGCTTGAGCTCATCTCAAGCCCTAAAGATTAAACCTCAGGAGGATGTGGTCTGTAAGCCAGGTGGGATGGCTGACATAGGACAAGGGGGATCAGTTTTAAGTGCAGCTGCATGTTTGAGTGTAGCCAGGGTCAAGGAGACTCTGTTGGTGAACGTAAGGGGTAATCAAAGCGGCCATGCTGCCAAGAATGGTGGGACATTTAAAGACACTTGCCATTCATTTAATGCCCACAGACACCCAGTAAATCTGGATTAAATATAATCCCCATTTTACAACTGAGGGAACTAGTTATCAATGAAGCGGGATGAATCCAGTGGGAAAGAATGAAGCCGTAGATACAGTGCAGGCAGGCAGGCCCTTGACTCCGAGCTTGCTTCCACCATCATTCCTCCACTCAAGGAAGTTATAGGCAAGATGATAATATTAAACAAGACTTCCTGGAAGAAAAGGCCCCAGTGGGTTCCAGCCTTGTACAAAACTGCCCTACCTGGAGTGCTTTGAGCTGGAAGGTGTCTTCTGCGGGGTGGGAGAGGTGGGGACAATGGGGGAATTCAGAAAGGGGCAGGATGTGATGGGAGAGGGAGATTTCAGAACTGTGTCTGAATCCCCTTGGTCCCCAGAGTTATGTGTTGGGCTGAGATCCTTTCAGATCTGCCCACAACAATTTTCTGGTTTTTCCCTCTGTTCCCAGAACAGATTTAAGCCTGGGAGTCCCCAGGAGGAACCGAGAGCACCTCCTGCCCATGCCCACAAACCCACACTCACTCTTTTTCCTGTAGGTTTGTTCCAGCTGCTCAGATGATGACGTTTACCCTCCTCTGGAGACCAAGATGGTGCTCCAGACCCAACTCAGAGGACCTGTTGGGGGCTGGGGTTCCTGCAGGGGGCAGCAGCCCTGAACCACCTCCACTCCCACTGGCTGCTGGGAGAAGGAGTGGCTGGGCTCAGAACTTGGGCAGTGGCCAGGCATGGAGTGTGGGTCTGGGTCCAGGTTAAGCCTGTGCTTAGGCTCAACGAGGTTTGAGGACAGGGGTTAGGGCTCAGCCCCATTCTGGGGTCAGGGTTAGCCTTCCTTTTCTTGGGACCAGAGTTTACCTCTGTGAGAAGCTGACTGGCTCAGAAAAAGGAGGATGAGGTTTCTGTGCTGAGAGCATCTCAGGCCTGTCTCTGCGGGGAGCTGGCTTTATTCCCAGCGGTCTCCCCATTGCAGATGGGCATTGGAGCCGCCTCTTGAGTCTGGGTCAGGGAGGGAAACCTCATCTTTATTCCCCTCAGGGACCCCACAGAGCAGAGCTCCATGGCCCCTTGGGGTAAGGGAAGGAGAACAGACTCTGTGATGTAGTACATAGCTCAGCAGGGCTGTGACCTACCCAGTTTCGGAGGCACAACATTCGCCTCTGAAGACAGACTCTTCCCTGTCTAGGCAGAAGTGCAGCCAGGAAGCTCTTAGTCCAGGAACTCAGCCCACAGCCTGAGGCTCCCAGTTCACATGGGGCTCTGTCTTCTCCTTCCAAAACACCCTCTCCCCATCCTCTGGCTAGGAGTACCCTATCCTAACAACTCTTGTTCAGTTCAGTTCAGTTCAGTCGCTCAGTCATGTCTGACTCTTTGCAACCCTATGAATCTCAGCATGCCAGGCCTCCCTGTCCATCACCAACTCCCGGAGTTTACTCAAACTCATGTCCATCGAGTCGGTGATGCCATCCAGCCATCTCATCTTCTGTCATCCCCTTCTCCTCCTGCCCCTAATCCCTCCCAGCGTCAGGGTCTTTTCCAATGAGTCAACTCTTCGCATGAGGTGGCCAAAGTACTGGAGTTTCAGCTTCAGCATCAGTCCTTCCAGTGAACACCCAGGATTTACTTTAGGATGGACTGGCTGTATCTCCTTTCAGTCCAAGCTGGAGTCTTCTCCAACACCACAGTCCTGTTATGGATTGTCAGTAGGGAATGGTTGCCCCCATTTTGCATGTGGAGAAACTGAGGTCCAGAGAAGGAAAGTGGCAACACCTAAGATCAGCAAGTCAGTGGCCAAACAAAGCCTTGTTGAGCTCAGGTCCCCAAGCCACAGGTTAGGCACGAGGCACAGGGGGATGACAGGTCCTCAGTGGTGGGGGTAACGAGGGAGGGCAGGGAAACTCCAAGATCTGCTGAGTTGGGCTTCTGGTTGGAGTGTCAGTGTGGTGGGGAGTGCTTCTCTGGGGATTGGGCCAGGCTTTGAGGGGGCACAGCATCTTAGCAGCAGGAGGGACCCTGTGGAAAATATTCACTTCAGGTCCCGACATTCTGTGGGCCTGCTGTGTGTCTAGCGTTATGCTGACCAGTAGGATCAGTAGGATGAGATAGACAAGGGTCCTGCCTACAAAAGGTCCCCCTGCAGGGGTTTGTGTCTAATATCTGGGGGCTACAGTCCAGGCAGCCTTACATACAAAAGGCAGTACAACATGTGTGGAGTTTATTTAGCT